AATTGAATTTATTTCCGGCACCTTTAGCGTGCCGGCATTCTTCCAATCACGTGAACAATCGTACCTATGCTTTTCGAGACGGGTTTAAGGTAATTTGATATTAATTCAAAAATTCGGGGTTTTTTTTCACTAATCGTGTTACAAATATATGTATAAAAATAAAAAATAAAATAAAAATATTACTGCCTTATTTGGTGGTATAATCCTGTTTTTTTACTTCATGAACCATGTTATTTTATTTTTTGTTATCAAATTATTTATTGAACAAAAATGGGTATGTCTGGGTTTTAGTTATAAACCCAAATTTAGGTAGGAATCACGTCACACTTCAAGAAAAGAGGTTTGGACTGCTTTTCGTATTACATCAATAAACAGGAAAAGCTAAGGTACACATTTAATAATTGCAAAATAATTCATTATACAAACGAACTAAATAGAAAGCGGCAAATTATAAGGGAATTTATTATTAAGCAAATTTCCGAACTTTTCATATAATGAAAATTCCCGAGGATTTCAACTACATACAGTTCAAATGATTATTTTCAATATAAAAGGCCTACCAAAATAAAAATATAGATTTAGATTTAATTAGATGTTACTAAATACAGTATAATCTTCAGCAAAAATTTACTTAAAAATACCAAAAAAAATATAACTCAGTTTTCTGAATTATTAATTTCAGCCAAGCTCCTTATATTCATGGAGTAAGATAAACACGATGGACGTTTTTTTAATGATTTATCGTTTAGTTTTGTTAAACATTTGTTGATCACAATCTATTGACAGAAACAAACATTAACAGTTAAGAAACGATGTTAATACAATAATAATAACACGTGGAATTCAAAACACTTACAGCCCATTTGAGAATCGCCTCATAAAAGAATATGAACTTCTCCATTTCTGTAAAGTCTCGGGGGACTGACGCACTGTCTACCTCTTGAAGGTAATAATTGCCTATTTATTATATAGAGTAAGCTTTTATGTTTTAAATACAAACTTGATATAATTACATTAAAAATTTACTTACCAGAAAATCCAAAAACGTACATATATAAATTATGTTCAGCACTGGATACACCAAACACCTCCATATCGGGCATTATAATTCTTCGGGTTCTTACCCTGTCTCCCATTATCTCAAGAAACAAACTTTTAAGGTTTTTCCCAATTTTATTTTGATTGTCAAGTATTTTCTTGGGATCAACTTTATATGGACGGGTTCCTTCAACGTACACTATTTGATATTTATTTGCGCATGTAGTGAGTCCGATTCCATCCCCTTTTTGACGTTTTATGTGATGTGGAGATGGTATTTCACCACTGTTTTTATACAAAAAAATACAATTAATTTATATATAATAATATATAATAATAATTTAAAAAAATAACTCACGAGGTGTAATAAACCTTTGCGCAATAGTAAAGGGCAGTCTTTAGACAAGGATGAACGAAATCATTCAGGTATGAATGTTCAAGTGTACTTTCATTAAGAAGTGGATTCATAAATCCTAACGAAAAGGCCTGTAAGCTTAATATAAAAAAAAAAAGATAGGTTAAAAAAAAATTATTTTAAAATGCTTCAAAAAAATGAAAGATTATATAAAATACAATAAAAGTTTGTAATTATTATTTTTTTAGACTGCCGCTCAAATATACTTACAAATTGTCTAATGTATTCGTAACAACTGTAACCGCTGTTTTTGTGATATCTTCAGTAAAATTATCAACATTCAAATTCTTTACAGATTCCGTCCATTCTTGTTGCGTCATACTCTTAAAATTGTAAATAAAGGATATAATATTTTAATTAGTATAATTTTATTGACAATAATCATTAACATACAAAAAAACAATAAATATCATGAATAAGCACCCACCTTTTGCAATTTTCATATCCAAGTTTCTCATGATTTAGTGATCGGATCTGCAT